TAGATTTCCAAGCTTGGAGAAAACCCAAAATAATACTCTTTGTATTTATAATTTAAAATATTTGTATTTAAATTTGTAATTTGTAATTAAAAATCTAAACAGAAAACTATGCTAATTGAGAAGAGATTAGTATGTTTTACCTTTGTTAGAGTACTTAGTGAACAGCAGGATTAATTAGGGGAACAGGAGGAAGAAGATGGAGATGCTATCTGGAAATGTCAATATATTCATGGGTTGTTTGTAGTTGGATGGGTTTGTTTTTTTTTTTAATCTCCTTTCCATTAAAAATGTATGCTTTTTTTTTTTCTTTGTTGTTCTCTCAGGGTTGTGGTAAAATTAGATATGATAATGTGTGATAGCACTTTGGAAACAGTAAAATGTGAGGGCAAATGAAAACTGCAATATTGCCATTTACATGAAGGGGTCAGAACTATCATTATTTAAATAATTGTGTACAATTTGCTAGATGCAGCAAAGTATACGATGAGGCCTCCTGGTGCTTACCAAGGCTGTCTTCTTATACTGACTGAAGCAGAGAAAGAGGAAGCGGAGTAAACCTATACCATGTGCACCGCAGCCCAGGTCCTGTGTGTGCCTGGTCTGTATTGTAAATGCAGGGAAATGAAGTTGAAGACGAAAGTACTATAAAGATGAATAAAGTCTGGTCACATGTGTATCATCCAGAGACAACCAGTGATAACATTTTCATATCATTTATTTCAGTCTATTTTAGTTTACTTATTTTTACATAACTGAGTTCACACTATTTCACATCATACTGTTTTCACTTACATGCATTTTTCCTTGCACAAAACATCTTATCATCATTTGTAATTGCTGTAATATTCCATTGCACGGAAATAGAATTCAACCATTCATCTGTCAGTGGAGAATGAGAATGTTTTCATGATGGATAGATACCTAATACAAATCACTGGGGGCTCTCAGAGGCTGAGAGGTAAGACCCCCTGAGTCAATGCACAGGACGAGTCCTGTGCTCTCCTCACTGAGAGCCAAACTGCCTCCCAGCAAGGGTACAGCGCTGTGTGCTCCAAGGGCAATGTGAGAATAGCTGCCCTGGCACACTTCAGCAGCACAAAGTGCTCCATGGGGGCACCTAGCAAAGATAGTTTTATTAGGTTGTAAGAAGGGGAAAAACACATTTATATTTGGACATTAGGAACAGAGATATATTACCATGAAGCTAAGAGACCTTAATCTTCAGAGACTTTCACTTGACTGAGCCCTGCCCATTCTCATTCTAAATAAACATTCACTTTTGCACTTAATTTTGTGTGATTTTCATAAAGTAGGCCCTGCCTAACCTGGATCCGTCACTGTCTAGGAAGAACATACGAGGCTGTGTTCAATAAACCATTGACACTTTCCATAAGAACAGGGCTAAAATACATTGCCTGGCCTTCCCTGCATATGCCACAGCTGGGATTAGGTTCTGGCTAAAGGAAAGTGGCATGCTGGCTAGACGGTGATGCCCTGGGTAACTCCACTGACCATTTTGTTAGAGTACTTGGTGACAGCAGAATTAATCAGGGGAATTAGGACAATGAACTTTGAAGTGATCAAAAACTACACTCTTATTGCATTGTCACTGACATTTGGGAGTCATAACACTTTTAGCATTAACTGCAGTGACTAAAGCAAAGCCTTCCAACACTTAGCCACATATGACCTGTCCATCCTGCTGGCTGTTTTCAGATGCCTGTATCACAACTGCCTTACTAATTTGGCATCTTTCATTCTTACTTCCGACCCAAGCAAGCAAACTGATTTTTACCAAGTATGCACATTTGGATCTGATGTCCTCAGACTTCATTGCTGGAAACCTGCTTCTGCCACGCAGTATGCAAAAGTGAAGCCCAGAACCCTAAGCCACATCTTCCTCTTAAAAGCACACTCTGAGCAGCACAGGCTGGGCTCTTCCTAACGAGGAGATGGAGCAAGTGGCAGAGTTAAACAGTTTCCACCAAACACTTTAGAATCCTGAGTTTCTGCAAAGGAGCACAGATGTTCATATCTCTGACAACAGCCAGAAGCCTCTGCCAGCACATCAGCCCATTTCAAGAGAAAAACAGACACAAATACTAAGTAGATGCCAAGTTTCCTCTCAAATAGCTTTTCCCCATTTTCTTATTTCATCCAGCTTGACGTTCTTTCGACCTTGCCCACCACATATTTTCTGATCTCCTAGTGCTCACCCATTTTGCAATGATCAGACAGAAGGCCTCAAAATTGCTTGCACCCTTCAGAAATACATTCTGTTCTATTTCCAACAACTGCTTCAAGCACCTTATCAAAATATCACGAGTTCCTTTGGGCCACAATTAATGCTCTCACCCCAGAGGCTATAAATCTTTCCCTGTGAGGATAGTCCTCATGATATCAAAGCTAAGAACAGTCAAGCCTGGAGATTCTCAACTATAATCAAAACTTCTAAATGCCAGGCTGTTTTGAAGCCAGCACATCAATTCATTCCTGGATTCTTAGGGGCTGAATATGCAGCAAAATGATGAAGCTGCAAAAGGCAGGGTGGAAAATTAAAGGGGTTATCAAAACAAAATTGCAATGGATATCTGAATATTCTTCCAACAGACAGGGATAAAAACAGCCATGCATTATACACTTCAGCCGAACAGGGCTGGCCAGAAGGGCTAACCATTTTCAGTAGCCAAAGCTTGCCTCTCCGCTTGGAGTTTACAATACAGTGGGATGTAACTAAAAGGAACTGGAGTCAAAAGTGATGGGCAGTGGTGTTCTGACCTGAGCAGGACCAGGAAGCCAACCTATCCTCCCAAAATGTAGACAAGGGTTGCCTCTGTCCCCATACAAAAGATGACCTTTGTAAGAATGCAGTTCCCAAGCCAATGGCATTGTGCAACTGAGATATTTGTGGTCTCGTCTGACTGGTTAGCTCTAATGCCTAGAACATCTGGCTAACAAGATTAAAGCCTATCCCAGGATAAGAAAATTAGCTTTCCTCTATTTTAACACCATGGATTCATCCTTATCCCAATTTGAAACAACTACACAAAGCAGGCAAATAATATTTATTGATTACCCATTATATGCATAGCATCGAGGAATAAATTCAATGGGGAAATGAGCCTGCATTATTCATCAAAGTCTTTTCCAGCCCTGGAAGCATCTTATTTCTGTAATAAGTTTAGAGAAAGAATTTACATTTCTCTGGCCAAGAGGTTGGAGTTATTGGCTTAATTCATCAGCCTTTCCCCCCCACCAAAAAAAAATCTGTGCTTTGCTTTGGCCTAAGGGACCTGGTACAAGTCACAACACATCAGCAACATTAATAGAGAAGCTTGTGTGGTTTTCCTGCTTCTCTTAGAGGATTCAGCTGTTCGCAGGAACATACAAGGCTTTAAGGGAATTTTGTTTAGTCATGAAGCAAATGGCTTTCGTAATTTTAAATGTTTCAATGGATGGATTTTAAAACACTTAAACAGGTCTACAAGTAGACAGATGAAACAGGCAACACCTGCCTTCCTATTTAGAAAAGAAAAGGTTTTAAAATTCATTTACTGACTGTGTAAACTCCAAAATGTTTTCTAATAATGATGCACTACAAGGCTTATTTGGAAATTTAAAACTCAGACAAGCATGATGCCACACTAAATGAAGTCTGAAGATACCACCAAAGAGCATTTCAGACTCTCTGGGCTTCATGGAAACCATTTAGATATTTTTCTACCTATAGTTCATAATAAAAACTACCATTTCTTGGCCACATCCCATGAGCCAAGCCTGTTAAGTCTGCACAGCAAAGTCTAGAGGTCTATATTGTTACCCCCATTTTACAGATGGGGAATTGATATTCAAAAGCATTACGTAACTTGTTTACATTTTCATATCTGGTAAACCAAGAAAATGGGATTCAGGCCCCACGCCTTCAGGCTCCAGATGCCATGTTCTTAGTGAGGCACCAATGTCTTCTGTGTTACAGGTTATCTCCCCAAAATATATAAGGAAAAACACGGCACCATTTCCCTTCAGTAACATATGTCATAATTTCATCAGACACTCCTCTTACGCCCTACAGTAAACTACACATATGATTAAGGCTGTGTCTCTTTACCTAATGTCTAAAGGTACTTCTGAGGCTAAATAAAACCCACAGTTGGCCAGGCACAGTGGCTCACATGCACAATCCCAGCACTTTGGGAGGCCGAGGCGGGCGGATCACCTGAGGTCAGGAGTTTGAGACCAGCCTGGCCAACATGGTAAAACCCCAACTCTACTAAAAATACGAAAATTAGCTGGGTGCAGTGGCAGATGCCATAATCCCAGCTACCCAGGAGGCTGAGGCCAGATAATCACTTGAACCCGGGAGGCAGAGGTTGCAGCGAACCCAGATCCTGCCACCGCACTCCAGCCTGGATGACAAAGACAGACTCCATCTCAAAAAAAAAAACAAAAACAACTCACAGTTTTCTACTGTGAGTTTCATTTTTGAAACATCGATTCCTATTTTTTTAATATATGTATTTGTTTGTCCCTTTTCTACCAATTGTTTATTTCACTCTACATGGCTTTATGGATCACACCAAAATCAATTTCTTTTCAGGAAAATACTGTCTTGGGAAAACTTAGGTTTCCACAAGAAACCTAGCAAAGAATTTGACAGATAGTGTCCGATTCATTACTCTTCCTCTTTTTTTAAAAAAAAATTCCCCTCTACCAGAGAAGCTGCATTTCTAATCACTAAAATACCCATCTCTGAAAGTGATGATACCCATCCCTTAAACTAAATGATCTGCTCTGGATGAAGAGTGTGTGAGTACTTGCTGGGGGCTACATTGGATACTCATACTTGGACCTCATGTGTAGGGGTTCCCTCTAAAGCAGGGAGTCCCCTGTGGAATGTAGATCAAGGTCCAGTGGGGCACTTTCCCACTTCCCAGGACAACAAAGCAAACTAAGAGGCCAGGAGCATGTCACCAACAGATCATCATTTCCTCCAGAGCAAAATGGCCTTCGTCAGCCACAAATTCTTTCAAGAAAAAGAGAGGCAAGTGGAAAAGCCTTGTGCTTTGATCTTTGTCACCTTTGCTGCCAGTGCTGACCACCTGGGCAGCTCCAAACGTCCAGTCCAGTGGAAGTAAAAAACCTCTCATACTGTACCAACATTAGCCAGTTTTCCTATGCCAGAATCATATAAGCAAGAAAGCTATCATCCTTCCGTTAGTCCTTCTCGTAATCATGGGCAAGGATTCAGTATCCCACAGTAGGCTACCTAGATCAGAAAACTGCTAGATGGATAGATTGCCCCATACCCACAGGCAGTTCCCCCTGATTCAAGCCATGAAGGACTATCTGATAAGATTCTGAGTCCCATTCCTTTTGTATCTGAACAAACCATACATACTCCTCAAGAATGTGTCAGTATTAGCAATTTGGCTAGGCCTTAGAGATTCTGGCACATTAGCAAAATGACCAAAAGCCTGGGAATCAAAATATGGTTGTGATCTGAAAATTCCAGCCAATGACGCAACGTAGCAGTGCCGAACAGCCTACCGAGATGATTTCCAAATGTTACTCATTTCACAAATAATCTGTCCTGTAATGAGTGTCCAAGGTCAATGCTGTTTGGAAATGGGTTTCTTAGCAAGGGTGACCAATATATTTACTTCAATCTGGGGACCTCTTAGAACATTTTGTTTCAAGCTTTCCAGAGTAACATACAGCAAAACTAATAATTATTATATTATTTTTATAATCATTATATTATGTTATTATATATATTTATATTAAATATTATAATAATTATTGTCATTATTTTTAACAATAATAATAATGAACCATTTTGTTGTAGAATGGGAAGGATTCCAATCCATCAACAGCTTGTTCAATGAATGTTTACTTAAGCTGCGTTATCACTGCCCCATACCAGAAACCAGGAAAACAAAGATGAAAGATGAAAGATGAAAAAGGCAAGCCCTCTGCCTTAAGAAGATCCAGGAAATGCTAGGGTTTCCAGTCTTCATAGATTTATGGTTTCCTTAGTAATTCAGGATGCTCTAACAAAGCACCATAGACTGCGTGGCTTATCAACAACAGAAATTTACTTCTCATGGTTCTAGAGGCTGAAATGTGAGATCAGGGTACCAGCAGGGTCGTGTTCTGGTGAGGGCACTCTTCTGGGCTGTAGATGGCCAACTTCCCATCTGTCTCACATGGCAGAAAGAGCAGCAGAGAGCTTTCTGGGGTCCTTTTTATAAGGGCACTAATGCCAGAGGGCTCCACCCTCAGGACCTAAAACCCTCCCAAAGACCCCACTTTCAAATACCATCATATTAGGGGTGAGGATTTCAACATAAGAATTTGGAGGGGTGGGGGTGTGGGCGCAAACATTCAGTCCTTTGTGATTGTTATCTAAAATTGTTTACATGTCTCCTTATATCTGTGTCTTGTCCACTGGTTCAATGCTATACCCCCAATTCCCAGCATGTTTGGCACATGGGAGGCACTGAATATCTATCTGTTGAATGAATAAATTAATTAATGATATAAGCTCTGCCAACAGCTAGTTTGGGCTTTGGCCGAGTAATCACAAACCTCAGATGTCCCATGTGTAAAATGAGTTAAAAACGTTAGGTTAGGCCCCACATAGGTCCTTCACAGAGTATTGGTTCTGCAAAATATAATGGATTTTATTTGGAGGAAAAAGGGAACCTGTGGCTAAGTGAGTTTGAAAACCATCAATATTACAGAAGGAAGCTGATTTCTACCTGAGTCTTCTCAATCTTCAACACACTGATACACTGAGAACTTCCCAGGGGATGTCCCAGGCAGAGTTACCCCATTCCAATGAGGCTATAAAAATCATCATTTGCAAGTCTCCGGAACAAAGTTCTGGACCCTCATGCCTAGCAGTTTAGAACCAACAAAAGGATCCATTCTTCACCATCTTCTTTGATGTGAACTCGTCTCAGGGAGCTAAGATGAACAGAGGTGTGGTCCCTCCTTCCTCTCAGCTCTTTCTGGCTCTATGGCCCTGGGCAAATTACTCAACCTCTCTAAACTTAGAGTTGTCTTTTCTCTCTCTCTCTGTCTCTCTTTCTCTCTCTCTCTCTCCCTCTCTCGTTTTTCTGTTGTTCTTGTTGTTTTTATTTTACTGAGATAGAGTCTTGCTCTGTCGCCCAGGCTGGAGTGCAGTGGCGCAATCTCGGCTCACTGCAACCTCCGCCTCCTGGGCTTAAGCAATTCTCTCACCTCAGCCTCCAAAGTAGCTGGTACTACAGGTGCCCACCACCACACCTGGCTAATTTTTGTGTTTTTAATAGAGACGGGTTTTCACTATGTTGGCCAGGCTTGTCTCAAACTCCTGACCTGAAGTGATCCACCCTCTTCAGCCTCCCAAAGTGCTGGGTTACAGGCGTGAGCCACCATACCTGGCCTGTATTTGCTATAAAATAAAATACAAGTAGTAATTAATTCAAAAAAGGCCTTAGTGAGAACTAAATGAGATAACATATATAAATCACTTGGTAACATTCACAGAAGACTCTCTGTAAAGGTCAGCTGTCCTTGTTATTATTCACAAACATACCAGCATTTTGTTTGGATTCCAGTCTCAAGGTCACCAATAGGTAAACTTTGGCGGGTCAGTCCCTGTCTAGCCTCAGAAGTGGCACAGGCAAAAAAAATCCAGGTTTTGGTTTACATCAGCGTTTCCCAAACTCTAGTTCTTCAAAGGCCATTTCCCAGCCCAATTGTACTCAATATTTCTCTTACTATTACTGCATGTTAGTCTCATCCTAAACAAGGAAATGTAGGAAACCACAGGTTTGATGTCTTTGTTATTCTTTTTCAAATACATATAAAAATTAATTTAAAAATTATTTAAAGACTTCTTATAAGCCAGCGTTATACCTAACTCATTTTCAATGCCATACACTGAGAAACATTTACTCAGGATTTGTATCTAAGATCCTTCTACCAAAAAGATTGTTTTCTCCTGAAAAAAACAAACAAACAAAAAAAACACAAACTAACCTGTGCAAACACTAACCTGAACCCTCTAAGGCAATACAGTAGTTCAGACCACAAGGGGGTGTTCTTTAGAAACTAGATTCAAATCTAGTTTCTAAACTGAATGTCAGAGATCACAGTAGGTGCGGGGATGACTCTATGGCTTTCTAAAGGAAGAATGACATCAACTTACAGAATACAGCGACATCTCTGTGATATGCAATATTAGCTGAGATATGAGGAGGCATTTTTAAAGATATGTTTTCAAGCTAAGACTTTTTCAAATTATAAAACTAAAATTCACAAAAAGCCATTGCTCTCCCGCCAGGAAAAACACCTGCTGTAGAACTTTTGCAGCTCTGGATGAGAGAACCCTGTCACCTCAGCCTAGGTCAGCAGTGACCAACACTTAAAAGTGTCACAGATCACGCCAATAGGAATATCACCCTCCTTCAGAAGCCAGCAAAACCAACAACACTATAGGATGGCTAACAAACTATAAAAAATATTTTAGATTAGTCATCAATAAAATGACTCAGGATGATATTCTGCAGACATGTTATGGAGTCCAAACATTAAGCCCTTTCAAAAGTAAAAGTGAGCATAAGTGGCAGTAGATAATACAGTTATCTTTGCTTTTAACTGCAATTATTCCTAAGCCCTTTTAATAGCTGTCACTTATTCGTTTCCAGGCTATAGCAAATTATAGTAAGAGGAGAAGGGAGCTGACAGCTCATTTCTTCTGTGAATGCCACGCTCTTCCGTTTCTGCGAGGCCTGTGGGCCCTACTCTATGGCACATCCACTAACCCCAGGAAAATCCTGCTAAAAGAAGCAATAAAGACAATAGTGCTCAAGTCTGCCAGCTTGGAGGCTTTGGGTACTCCAGCAGAGTTTCCCAGGCCTCCATGCATTCTGATCAATAGGGGAGAAAAATAAGTTATCCCCATAGATACTCCAAAGGCATTTTCTCTTTTTATCTACATGAAGGATGTATGTTTGGTGTATGTGTATGCAGGTGGACATGCTGAAAGGGAACAGAGACAGCTGGTTTCATTTGAAAGGAATTAATATTGTAGGTATTATTAATATCATAAACCTCATCCTCTTAGGACACATATCCCAGAGAAAAGAGAATTAGGTCAAAGGCACAAAACAGTCCATAAAAAATAAAATATTTTTGAAGCTAAAATAGCACCAAATTAAAAAAAAAAAAAACAACTGAGTGATCACTTTTGGCACCTAGAAAATTGTACAGCTTGTCCCTAAATATTAAAGTAGTATGAATACAAAAATAACTTTTAAGAGGAGCTTTCAGAACTCAAGCTAATGAATCCAGTTATGTTGCTGCTTAGTGGTCTTGACTGAACAGAACGTTCAACTCCAGATAGGGACTCAGCAGAACCAGCTAACCAATGTGCATATGCCCGGAGCCATCTCATCTGTGTCACCAGAGTGACAATCAGAATCCAGAACCTTGGGATGACATTTCTTTTTGTAACACTGGTTCTTTTTTAAGTCAACATGTAGCCTAAAGATCAAAACAATAAAACGAAAATGTGTTTTAGAAAGATCCCTAGGAAATATTTTCCACCATGTTTTCAGAAATGCAAAGACCTAGCAGATCAAAGAAGAGCAATACTGAAATTAATTGCTGCTCAGAAGAATATCCTTTTACTTTTTAATTAACATTCTGTCCTTAATCCAAGAGCCAGAAGAAAAACATACGATATATAGTGCTTACACACCTCTTATGGGGAAGTGTTCACCTTTCTTCCTCAGCCTTTCTCTATTTTCATCCAAATGTGTTTAAATTTAAGATGCAGTCTTGGCAGCGTGTATAGCTCAGTGATGCAAATAGTGTGGGATGGTGCCACCCAGAACTCCGTATGTGGGAGAATAACTAGGAAATCAACTTTCCTACTCTCTGTGCAACTCTATTTCATCCAGAGGAAGATGTGGGCACATGTACTCAGGTTGTTTTTTTTTTCAACTGGGCAAGGGAGGAGGTATAGAGAGGAAAAGCCAAGTAATATTTTGGAAGGATTTGCGAAATACCTGAGTTTAAACTGTCAGGATCCAACTTGCTTTCTTGCCCACTCACCTCCTTCAGTGATTCCACATCCAT